TTAATATTTTACATCGCATTTGTGCTGATTACCTATTTCCTTCACAGATATCCCTGGACCCAGCAGCACCCATTCTGATTACCCACACATGGAACACCTTCCTGTCTTCATTCGGCCGCTTGTCATTGCCATCCACGACCCGGCGCCAGACGGTCATTGTGGGTTCCGTGAATTAGTTTTGCACTATATGGTAGTCAAGAAGGGTTCACAGGGGCGAGGGCACGACTTGCTGAAGAAATATGTGAGCACGATTGGAGATACGCACCCATCTACAGTCCCGGCATCAATGATGCAATCAGACGCATTGACATCACTACTACAGCACCAACGACTGAACATCATTGGATGATGGGTGTGGATCTATTCGTATTTGCCACACTATTTAATTTGGCGGTTGTCATGTACAGCACTTACCTCTACCCAACTCCACAATCGTACCCATGCACCATTCTGCCAGTGGACAACATACATGGGGAAGCCCACCCTAGAGGACTCATTGTTGTGCATTTCGTCCAGAATCATTGGATCAACCTCTCTTTCCCGGCGGACAAGATACCGATGCCCCCTCCACATGCCATGTGGCCAAACGGTCACCAAGAAAGCGTGGATGGATGGGAGAAATATTTCGCGCCGTTTTTTCAAATGTGGTTCGATCTTGGGGGTGCGGCGAGTAACTTTCCATCACGCAAAAAGAGGGGTCCAAAGAAATAAACTTGTACTCGTCTTCAGTTTAAATAAATTGTAATGAACGTCTTCAATTTAAATAAATTGTAATGAAATTTGTTTACGTCACATGGAAGCATGATATAATAAAAACATCCAAAGTACAACATAAACCACATAAGTCATAATCAGATTACACAAATAACATAAATCATAGTCCCAAAACAACAAATAAGCAACTGAACACCACATAACATAAGTCGTAGTAGAACACATAAGTCAACTCGTCTAAAAACAACAAATAACACTCATACATATGACATAATAATCATACAACTACTGTGGAGGTGGTAGAAAACCCGACTTCCTCCTAAACTCAAGCCACATGTTCCCAACTCCATGACATAAGTTGTAGTACTCGTTGGCGCTAGCCATCCACTCCTCCCTACTACCCTGTGCAGCATCCATCACGGGAGATATCTCAACCCACATCTCGCGTGACAACTGTAATAAAAAACCATACAATTTAAATACATATTAGTTACAAATAATTTAATACAAATAATTTAAAATATAATTGTACTAACCGTATCAGCATCCGAGATGTCATCAACAGGTCGACTGTCACTCAGTATATGTGGGTGCGAGTGCCTAATGTACCACGACATGTAATTCTCAGCAAACTCCCATGGCCTACGTCGTATCGGAGTAGAAAAAAGGTCCAGATGCACACTATGCGCCCCCAAGTTGTTCCAATACGAATCATAGACAGACTGGTAGCTAAGAGAGTATCCAAGCGTGGAAGCAGGTCGACGCACAACAAGCGGACGCTCCGGTGGATACGGTACTCCCTGCACGTAACCTAACTGTCGGAGGCACCTGGTGGGATCATAATATTCTGCTATCTCTGCAAATCTGAGCAGGCCCTGATACAAGGTACGTCTCACCGTCAGATGAGGACTACGACCATACGGAGTCCAACTAACTGACTGAGGGGTCAAACTATCAATCGCCTGCCGATAATAAGCCAGCATCTGTGCATCCCTCCTCTTACTCGACCGGGGTGCTGTACCGCGCCACCTGAATGCTCCTGCCTGCCCCCGCTCCAGCTCTCGTGGCTCCAACCGACTAGGCCTCAAAGTAGGAAAGTGGTCGTAAATCCAACACTGTAGTAAAGTCAGACAACCCGACACCCCCTTAGCCTCCGCCCGGGAGGCAATACCAAGCTGCCTGTACAGATAAGCAAGTGCTCCAGCCCCCCACGCATACTCTCCTAGCATATCCGGCCTCTTCACAAACAAGTTCACAACAGCAGAAACGCGGTCCTTACTCTTATCTACGAACAGTGTGGACCCAAGCAGCAAAAGAAGGTAACACTGAGCCTCTCTAGCTGGCGGACCAGACTGCTGCAAATGAGTCAAAGCTCCCACACCCAACAAACCAAATCCTCTGTACCACCTAGACAGACTAGCAACCTCGCCAACCTGCGCCCCGTACTCATCCTCGTCACGATCTAATCCCAGTAGTGCTCGGATGTCAGCCTCCAGTGCAAACTTCTCCAACTGCCTCGGATCCACTACCATCGCCTCTCCGTCAACCGCAAGCCCAAGAATGTGTGCCACGTCGTGAAGGAGGATCGTCATCTCTCCAAACGGCATGTGGAAGATGTTAGTATCCGGCTGCCACCTCTCCACAAATGCCAAGATGAGTGCAGGGTCCAACTCGCTCTGGAAGGTGATATCAACGAGGTGAGCAAGGCCCGATGTCTCTACGGTAGTCCTAGCGTTATCATCTGCTATCTGATAACCGCCGAGAACGTGACAAAGGGTCGCACTCCTGTCGTAGCAAGTGATCACCCCTCTATCAGCCTCTCCCGTGTACAGACGGTGGGCAACATGCCCAAGAAAGCTACAGAGCAAACTCGGGTCGCTCGGCCCTCCAGGACACGGTCCTCTAGGCTCCCAGGCCTCTCCTACATCAGCAGTAGAACTCTGGCCCTCACCAGGCTGTGGAGCTCTATAGAAACGCCCCGCATGGTCTCTATAGATCCCAGTAACAGCATGAACCCCAGTAACGACAGGTGACGCAACGCTGGGGGCACCTCTGTCTCTGATCGGACTGACTCGTGGAATACGTGTCTCAACAGCATCCGACTCATACTCCTCCGACTCGTCGTCAATCTCGTCTGAAGGCTCAAACGGTGAAGTATGATGATCAATACTGGGACCAGCTCCACTACCACCCATACTAGGCATCCGAAAATCAAACTCAGGGAAACCGTCTGCCCTATATCTCATCGGTGTCACCTGTGGCTGAGGCTGTGGCTGAGGCTGTGGCTCATCTCCATCATTTCGGTCCTTATTTCTCACACTAGCGCTAATGTTACGCCCAATGAATCTTTTCAATCTCTTTCCTGGTCCTCCAGAACTACGTGATCCTCCAGAATTACCAGATGACGCCATCTCTAAATATAGACAATAATTTTCTATTAATATCTTATTGGAAATTATTTGTTGAGCAATTACTTGTTGTTTTATAGAGTAATTATGATACGTACAATTTATTTCGTTTGATTTTACTTAATTTAACTAGATAGTTATTTAAATATTTATTTCAACTTACTCAATTACTTAACTAAAACATCATAGATAATTATTTAAAATTAACAATTTATTTAATCCAATAATTCTTTAGATATTTATTATAATAAATGATCTATTAGCATAGTCAATAATTATCTATTAATCTCTTATAATAAATTATTTGATTAGCAATTTGTTCATCTAATTAATTAGCATAGATATTTATTATAATAACTAATTATGATATATACAACTTGATTATCTAATTAATTTAACTAGATAGTTACTTTACAATATATAGTTATTTAAATAATTATTTCAACTTACCCAATTAATAAACTAACACATTATATAATTACCAATTATATACTAATTATTCAACTATCAATATTAAACTAATTAAGATACTAACAATTGTATTTAAAATAAATGTAATAAATATTAATTTAAATCGAAACCGAAACCCAATCGGCCAGGCGGACCGCGTCCGCTCCGGCCAGGCGGACGGCGAGCTTACTGTATTAAAAAAAAAAACTTACCTCGCCGACGACTTGAGCAACGGCGCCGCGGCTTCTCCTGGGCGGCGAGCTTCTTCTCCTGGGCGGTGGCGTCGAGCAGAGGAGGAGGAGGTCCGGTGGCGTCGGCGAGCAGAGGAGTGGGAGGGTGGTCGCCGGCGTCGGTGAGCAGAGGAGGAGGAGTTCCGGCGGCCGTCGGCGAGCAGAGGACTGGGAGGGTGGTCGTCGGCGTCGAGTGAGCAGAGGAGAAGTGAGAGGGGGTCGGCAGAGCAGTGGGGGTGGGGGCTGAGTGGGGGGGGGGGGTGGGGGTGGGGGTGGGTGGGAGGGGGGAGGAGGTGGATAGATAGGGTTAGGGGGCAGGGGTAAATTAGTCTTTTCTTTCCTAACTATGGGCGGCAAATAGTTATACGACGGGCGGCAAATAGCGATTCACTAGAAGAAAGGGATAGCATACCTGCAGGCCAGACACCCGCTTGAAATGGCAGGGATCCCATCAACGCGACGACAAAAGCATTTCCGGCCCAACTGTTCATCTGTACCTGTGTATGCGTTGCCTGGATTCCTGGGTTTTTCCAAGGGGATATTCTAGCCAATTCCAAAGTCCCTCCTCCCCTGAAGTGCACCCGTAAATTCCCCTCTAATCTCTCTGACAGGCAGATAAATGAAAAGAAAGGAGGGGGGGGGGGGACTAAAAAGAAGAGGAGGTTATCAAGTGGAAAGAGGCACAAAAGGGCAAATCGCGATCTGCAAAGATAATACAAACCCTCTCGGCAGCGCAAGACTCGAGAATGGAATTTTTTTAAAAAGGTCAAAGCCAGAAATTGTGTATGAAGGGCCAAACTAATCCCTCGTCGAACACAACCAGACCCAGCAACCTAAAAGTGACGACAATAATTAGTCTGTCGACGTATCCTATAAAAAGTGTCTACATTGCGTTCTGTTTACTCGGTCCAACCAGTAGGCCAAACGCGAAGACAAATTGATTTGCCGTACAAGTAGTGAAAAGTAAGGCATCCTACTCTAACCGGTCTAACACTCTGTTTTATTAGAGCGGAAAAGGGGGGAAAGGAAAGTTTAGGGCGGAAAGTGGGAGTTTCAATAAACTTTCCCCCGTTTCCGAAAGCAAGCATAGTAACAAGGGGAGGGAAAAGAAAGGAAAATGCCACTGTTGAACCCTCTCCTTGCTATCTTCTTCTTCCCCAAACACAACCCAAACCAGAAACAGGGAATCTTTTTCTCTGTTGAGCTCGCCACTAATTACTCCCACAACGAAAAAAATTCCTCAATCTTCTGCTCGTTTTCTCATCACCGTTCGCCATCGTTTTGGCCGTCGCGATCTGTTTTCTCTCCAGTCTATCATAAATCAGAAACAAGAAAGGCGATCGAAGATCGGAATCCGATCGAGAGAGGGAGGGAGGGAGCGATCCCACTTCTGTCTCTTTTTCCCTCCATCAAAATCCAGAAAAAAATAAAAAATTATCAGAAAATAACCCTAGAACCCCAAATTTAAAGCATGCAATGGTTGAAAACTGCTCACCGTTCGTCACGTCGCCCGGACGCCGTTGTTCTTGTCATCTTCGTTGAAGTTTCTGAGCCCGAACCGGCAGATCGAGGTCGAGGGAAGAAAGGATAGTTGATTTGGTGTTCTACGATTGTCTGGCTTTCCAAGAATGGGAACGGAGATAGAAGAGGAGAGCAGGGAATGGAAAGGAGATCGGTATTAGAGCTACTTTTCCTTTTTCTTGTTCCATTTACTAGAGAGGCAAGACAGAGATAAGAATAACTTTGGGGGGGCTCAAGATAGGGTGCATAACCCATGGTTATGCACCCATCAATAATCAAATCTGGACCCTTCATTTAGAAAATCCAGATCTAAAGATGGAGAATTAAAGACTATTTTTATTTTCACTAGCTTTCTTAATTGACTCATATCTTTTTCGTTTTAACTCGGATTTTAATTTTTTTTGCACAGATGGAACGAGTTCACCGTGCTCTACAAAATGAGATCAATTTTCAATATTTTTTTAGGAAAAAAAATTTCTGGCCTCTCGGTACCAACTGCATACCATATGGTATCTTCTTCGTTTTTAATTCGTTTTTGAAAACGTTTGCACAGCAGGGATGAGTTCATCATGATCTACTGGATCTACAAATTTCTGGGTGAACAAATTACAGGACCAAAAAATACCACACAATACCATACAATACCACCCTGGTACGTGGTGGTATTGTATGGTATCTTCTTCGTTTTTAATTCGTTTTTGAAAACGTTTGCACAAAAGGGACGAGTACATCATGATCTATTGGATCTACAAATTTCTGGGTGAACAAATTACAGGACCAAAAAATACCACACAATACCATACAATACCACCCTGGTACGGGGTGGTATTGTGTGGTATACAATGTTAAAAGTCGTAAATTACAATTAATATATTTCTACTATCATGTATTCAACCATATTACAGTATTGGTTTGTTCATACCACCATGGTACGTTTTTCAAAACATAGGTATGCTTTTATTTCAATACCAGTCAATACCATATGGTATAGTCTGGTAAAAAATGGCTCAATTTTTTTTGTTCGAAAAATATATTAAAGTGGATATCATTTTGAAGAGCACAATTAATTTGATCTAACTGTGCAAAAAAAAAATTAAATTTCGACTTAAAATGAGCGAGAAATCGTCCGTCAAATATTAAAAAGGGAAAAATTAAAGGCTTTTCATGAGAGAGAGGATGCTGATGTCATGCTGATGTGGACGGGTTACTCATGGTTACTCACTATAAGGTTACTCACCTGATCCATTCCCCTTTGGGGGTGGAGGATTAGGGCGGCTGATTAATATAGTTTTATATTATGGAAACTTCTCAATATTAAACCAAAAATTATTGCTATAAAATATTAATTATTAAATAATTCATTTAAATTTTAAATATTATTTTCATACGTGGAATATAGCATATCGCATACGTGTACAATACATAAGTGTCGTTATGCTGTTTTGACAAGTGGTATTTTCCAGCCAGTGATACAATCGGTAGTCCAGTTACAACGAATGAGATATGTTCCATTATACAACTAGGTTGACATGAATCGCAATATAGATCCGTTCGATACAGTCAAATGTGATTTTACGTAGAAGTGTTTCGGTGACCTCGAAGCGTAAAATCATAAACTTTTAAGTCGTAAAGAGCGATTTTGGCTATACTTGTAAGTTAAAAGTGCGATTCTACGTGGAACCATTTTAGTGAATTTAGAAGCGTAAAAGCGTGAGTTTTCAATTTTTAAAGCGTAATAACCTTATAACTTAGATTAATAGTGAACAAATTAGTAAGAAAGAAAATTTTGATTCACTATTTATAAGTGAAGAAAATAATATCAACACATAAATAAATTATTTTATTATTACATAACTAATAAAATAACATATCTATCACACTTTCCAATATACTTTTCTCTTTCCACTTTCTCTTCACTTTCCTTCATAAAACAATATTTTCCCTCCTATTCAATTTTCCTTTCCCTCCATTTCTCTCCCCTCCAAATGTTCCTTCCCTTCCATTTTCCTCCCTTCCTTCGTGAACATAGTGTAAATGTTTAAGCCCATCGATACAAAAGCGAAGGAAACCACCTAACCTCAGGCCAATTTGTTAAATAAGGTTGGGGACGAACATGTTTTGGCTTAAATGCAAGGCCAACCATAACTAACAATTATTCCAACCATGAAAGCACAAAAGGCGGCAAACCTTGATTTTAATAAAGAGCGCAATTAGTTTGAGGGTGTGCCTACGGTGACATGCATGTCACGGTGACTTGCACTTTTCGGTCGACCTCAGTTAGGATTAGGTCGACCTCATTTAGAATTCGGTCGACCTCATATAGGATCTGGTCGACCTCATTTAGGATTCGGTCGACCTCATATAGGATCAGGTCGACCTAATATGTTGTTTCAGTGTAAAAACAGTTCATGGTGCCTACTTTGGATATTCATATCATACAATTGGCTAAATGGAAATTGAAGACTAATGACTTGTTTTGAAGCTGGAGTGTCCCTCTACATATTGAAGTGATTGAGAGCTCGATAGGAAGTCCAGAAGACCATTTTTGAACCTCATCAAAAGGCTATGCCAAAATTGGGAAACTGCCTAGAAATGGCTAAGTCTGAAAACGTGTTTGTGAAGCCTATTTTGGAGCTCAATTCAAGAAGCATGAATGCGAGTCGAGTCCAGGAGCCTCTACCACGTTAAATTAGGTATGTTTTTATACAAATTCAAGGCATTGGATGAAAGATTAGATATCTGTAAGGCTTCAAACAAAAGGGTCGAAGTTGCTACGAAGGCTGTTTTTCTGGCAGACTTCGAGCACAAGCAAGCTGCCAGAAAAACAGCCTTCGTAGCAACTTCGAGCCTTTTGTTTGAAGCCTTAAAGATATTCAATCTTTCATCCAATGCCTTGCCTTTGTATAAAAAAAATACGTAATTTAACGTGGTAGAGGCCCCTGGACTTGACTCGCATCCATTCTTCTCAAATTGAGCTCCAAAGTAGGCTTGACAAACACGTTGCCAGACTTAGCCATTTTTAGGCAATTTCCCAGTTTTGGCATAGCCTTTTGGTCAGGTTCAAAAATGGTCTTCTGGACTTTTTATTGAGCTCCCAAGTACTTTAATGTGTAGAGGGACACTTCAGCTTCAAAACAAGCCTTTAATCTCCAATTTCCATCTAGCCAATTGTAAGATATGAATCTCCAAAGTAGGCACCATGAAACTGTTTTTACACTGAAACAACAGATTAGGTCGACCTAATCCTATATGAGATCGACCGAAAAGTGCATGTCACGGTGACATGCATGTCACCGTAGCAAAGTCCTTAGTTTGATTGTTGTGGTCAACTTAGATTAAAGGGCGGCAAGATTTGTGAAAAACCGGTCCACCATAGGTAAAATGGTTGGATTAAGTTGAATAACAATGCGTTCGATTGAATTGAAGCTCAAACTGCACTAACTAACGAATCATAACCTGAACGTTAAAAAAAGGCAAACTTTGGTCAACAACTAAAAGGGAAAAATTGTTAAAAAAAAAAACAAATGCAATTAGGTTGTTTGGTCGGGTCGAATTAGGTTTAACCCTAACGACAAAAAGGAGAGCAAGCCGATTGACCTAGTCGGGCTTGTCGAATTAGGCTGAATAAGAACCCACAGTCGAGCACCGGTTTACTAAGATTAAATAAATTTGGGTTCAATTAGAACATTCGATTAGTTAATATACTATAATTATAGAAAAGACGTGTGAAAGTCACACTCAATGCAAAAGTCGTAAAGATCGGGCGAATTAAATTAAATACCGATCGACCGGCAACACAAAAATTGGTCAACTGGCTATAACATTCAAATTAGGTCGAGCACATACAACTTGGATTAAATTTTGGGTCAATTAGAACATTTGATTAGGTAGACCAAGAATAACTTGTGGAACTCATCCTCAACGTTAAAGTCATAAAGACCGATCGAATTAGATGGAATACCCATTCACTTGGTTCAATGACGAGTAAGAGGACTAAATAGAAATAAGGATAAAGCATGCAAAACTCATTCTCGCCGCAAAAGGCGCTAACACCACTCGAATTAGATGGAAGACCCATTGGTGTGAAACAGCGTATACAACTCGTCCTGAATGATAAAGTCGTAAATGTAAAGCATGCACGACTCATTTTCGCCGCGAAAGGCGCTAACACCGGTCGAATTTGATGGAAGACCCATCGACGTGAAAAAGCGTGTACAACTCGTCCCTAACGATAAAGTCGTAAACGTAAAGCATGGAAAACCAATTCTCGCCGCAAAAGGCGCTAATACCGGTCGAATTAGATGGAAGACCCATCGCCGTGAAAAAGCGTGTACAACTCGTCCTGAATGATAAAGTCGTAAACGTCAATGATAAAGTCGTAAATGTAAAGCATGCAAGACTCATTTTCGCCGCGAAAGGCGGTAACACCGGTCGAATTAGATGGAAGACCCATCGACGTGAAAAAGCGTGTACAACTCGTCCCTAACGATAAAGTCGTAAACGTAAAGCATGGAAAACCAATTCTCGCCGCAAAAGGCGCTAATACCAGTCGAATTAGAGGGAAGACCCATCGGCGTTAAAAAGCGTGTACAACTCGTTCTCAACGATAAAGTCGTAAACGTGAATGATAAAGTCGTAATCGTAAAGCATGCAAAACACATTTTCGCCGCAAAAGGCCGCGGTAACACCGGTCGAATTAGATGGAAGACCCATCGCCATGAAAAAGCGTGTGCAACTTGTCCTCACCAATGAAGTCGTAAACGTCAATGGGTATTACATCGAATAGGCATTGATTACATCGAATATGCATTGACTTAGTTCAATTGGGTCTAATTGTCATAAGCTAATTAATATGGATTTGAAAGGCATTAAATCCTTTCAAATTTTGGGTAATTACAAAGTGATCATGTTTGTGATGGGACACTATGCAATAGTGTTTTGATTACTTGTTCTTTTATAGATACAGGTTTTATTGCCTGCGCCTCGCGCCAGGATTGGTGAATGAAATTTAAACACATTTGAAGGCAATGAAATGAAACGATTCAATTCATAATGGAAAGCAATGAATAGCTCAAACAAATCCTTCCACATGACTTGAAATGATAATCTAAACAATATCAAACATTACATTTTAATTTTTAAACTTAGGATGAAAATAGTTTAGGATTCTCCGTGAATAATATCAAAGTAAGTATGAAACATGTCAAAGGGCAATGGATTCAAATGACTTCAGCTTCCTAACATATGTGTCGAGATTGACATTACTTAAACTTAATTAAGCTAAAATTTGTAATTGAACTCTTTCCCGTCCAAATGTCCCAAATTTCCTGCCTCTTTTCCTTTTTGTAGATCACTAACAAAAAAGGGGAGCCTGGCTGGGTTTTGTTCAGAATTATATACGGGGATATGCAAATGGAGTAGTTGGTGAGCAATCCAAGTTAATAAAATTTCGTAGAGATTGCAATACAAAAAATAGAATACTTTCTATGAAGAAGCTAATTTTAATGTCCTACAAATAAGCTCAAGTTTCACAGCAAGTTAAGAGGATAATGAAATCTTTCAAACATAAGAAAAACACAAAACAAAATGCCTCGAAAATAGGATATTAGCCCAATATGCTTTGGCATACCCGAACTCTTTCAAGGCACCATACTGCACAAAGAGCAAATTATAAATCAGAATCATTTATACACATTTTTATCAGAGAAACATAGTTCAGTACCAACCAAACCCTCCCATAGATTAACCGGACAAAAACATCGAGCTTCACAAGAAGCAAGGCTAACAATGCTGCAGATACCAAGAAATAGCCTCTCAAAATAGGCAATGAACTGGTATAAGAAAGGGAACACAAGGAGTTGACGCAATTGCTATGCAGGAGATGACTTCACCACTGATCAGTATACCTCCACTGTGTACCAAGATGGAACAAACACGTTTACCAAAAAAAATAAATATATAAAAACTAATGCTCATTCTTCTGCAAGTGCAAGCATTTTCAAACTCGGAAAAAAGAAAATTTAAAACCTGACCAAAAAAGAAAATTTAAAACCTGACCAAGAAAATTTAAAAACTAATGCTCATTCTTCTGCAAGTGCAAGCATTTTCGAAGACCTCCAAGGGTAAACACATATTATTATTCTCTAAAATTTAAAAATAAAAAATACGCCCAGGCCAAAAGAGAGAAAACGTAATACAGAATAATCACCTGACCCCTCTGTGGATCTGTTACTTTTTCCTTGGAATCACATCTAATCCTCCAAAATCCACCGCTCGAACGTACGCTTTTGTACTCCAGCTAATCACCTCGCCTTGTATTTGCTCGGGTTTGACGAATACCTTAGCCCTTCAAGATCGCTATCAGGCATAGTTAGTAAAATACGGTACGGGAATGTTACGTATAAAATACGTACGGGTATTTTACTTCGTCTGTATACTAATGTTACGTTTAATAGTACGTTAATTTTCATAAATATAGAAAAATTAATCATTTTAAAAATAAATAAATATATAAATAATAGTAAAGTTAGTAATTTAATTCATTAAATACGGATATTAAACGTGTTATACGGGTTTTATACGTGTTTAATACGGGAGCCATCAAATGAACGGACAAAAATGAAACGGCTTGACAATAATACGGATACGGAAGTTTTAAACGGATAAAGTACGTACGGGTACATATACGTGTATTAAACGGAGTATTTACTAACTATGCTATCAGGTAACCCAAGCACAGAATATCCCCAGAAAATAATAAACTTCCAAGACAGAAAGAGGAAGCACGAATCCATCCAAGAAAAAATGAGAAAACAAAGACAGCAGGGGAGGGATTTAGAACAGTACTCACCTGAAAGGAAAACGCAGATCTATGGATGTGCTGCTTTTCTGAAGCCTCTTAAAGTTGCTTTAATCCGCCGACCAATCAACTTGAAGCTGCATCCATTGTAAAGTAGGGGATTGAAGAAAATAAAAGAAATCAGGGAACCTTCATCCATCCACAAACCAAAAAAAAAAAAAAAAGCAAGAGACAAATGGGAAGAATGCGAACTAATCAGTTCAGGAGGAGCATAGATAGCAAGTTCTACCTTCGTATTGTGTCTGCAAGCTATGCCGCGGCCCTTAGGATTGCGCGTCAGTGTCGCATGCATCCCGCCAGAGCACCACGGAGGCCTGTGATGATAACAAACAACACAAACAGAGGAAAGTGTCACAAACGAAAGAAGCAGGCAGAGAGGAGAGAGAAGCAAATTAAGGCAGAGAAGGGATTTTATTTTTATAAAAGAGAGACCAACACCGAGAGACTGAAAAGAGGTCTTCCATATCATGACCTCTCTCTCTCTCTCTCTCTCTCTCTCTCTCTCTCTCGTCAATTAGTTGCCATTGTAATGATTAAAGCCAGCCATTGCCATTGAAAGATTATTTGGTCGCCAGCGATCGATCAGCCTCAAAGAAAAGGAAAATATCTCTGCACCTCAAATAACGTGAAAAACATCACACCCCCTGTCAGCCTCTATATATCTCATAGCCCTGCCTAGCCCCCTCACTCTGTCTCTCGATCTGGGAACCAATCCCAGCCCCCAATACACAATTGGGTCCATCTAGTCTCCGCATGGATTGGTCAGTTGAGATGCAACGAAGCTTCAACCAGGGGCCACTCACATGAACCCTAAATGACCATTAGTTAATTACGTGTCCAATCAGTAGTCCAAAGAGAACCGACCCATTCAAATCCAACGGAGGAACACCATGCACCGTCCACAGCCAATTCCACGCCAGGTTGCTACAGAAAAACTGAGTCTAAAGATACAGTGAAAGTAGTCTGGTGCTACAAACAAATGAGATGTTGCGGGTTTTATTTCTTTCAATAAATAAATACATAAATATAATAGCCTTCTCCAACGCTTCCCAAAGCAGCCATACACGACCATACTGGATAGGTACTGACTCCATCCCTCCCCACCTCATCTAATGCAAGGCTCCACCTTTGGTTGAAGGGTCACGAGTCACTAATTAAGTTGCTACGTGAGATATTTTGTTGTCGGGACCCTTTTCCATGTGCTAGAGTCGATCGATAATATATGACATGGCTTAACATCCAACTATCCAAGTTGAGATAAGTGGGTAGCACAAGTCAGAAGCAGTTAACAATAATAGTATCGTAGCTGGTTTCAGCGGGGAGGAAGAAAAAAGTTGGTTGTTTATTTGGCGTCAATAGAGTAGAGTTGCCCAATTGAATTCTGAAACAAATAAATGTATTCGGCATCAATAATTTCTTGCGATAAACAAATAATGGAAACCCAAAATATGGCTTCCGTTTAGCCACGTTCGACGTTAGACATGTGGTACAGCTACGGCCTTTCTACAATTACCCAAACTTAAGTAGTTGCCCCTTTTCTATTTAAGGAAAGAAAGAAGCTGTCCTATTTGCAGTTGCAAAGCAAGTACATCTACTTTCTAATCTTTCCTTTCAAATAAGCAATTGTCGGAGACGGAAATGGCGCATGTGCTTCATATGAATGGCGGCACTGAAGACACAAGCTATGCTGCCAACTCCTTACTTCAGGTAAATTTTATTAGTGAGAGTCCGAGTTGTTTGTTATCGGTTGAGATTTCAGTTAGCGCATTGCATCAATAGGAGATTCCGGCCCCTTCTTTCTTCTTTTTGGCAGCGCAAGGTGATATCAATGACTCGACCCATAATAGAGGAAGCCGCGATGGGGCTGTTCAGCAGCTCGAGCTTCTCCGGACGGAATCTAGCGATCGCCGATCTGGGATGCGCTTCGGGACCCAACACTCTTTTCACTGTGTCAGAACTCATCAAAGCACTAGACAAAGCAAGCAGGAAGTTAGGTCACGTATCTCTCGAGTTTCAGGTTTTCCTGAATGACCTCCCTGGAAATGACTTCAACAATGTCTTCAGATCCTTGCACGGGTTCACAGAAGAGATGAAGCAGGAACTGGGGATCGAGCTACCGATGTTCTTCAATGGAGTGCCTGGGTCTTTCTACGGCAAGCTTCTCCCATCCGACAGTCTTCACTTCATTCACTCGTCCTACAGCCTCCATTGGCTATCACGGGTTCCTCCAGGATTGGAAGAGATGAATAAGGGAAACATTTCCATCGGGAGCAGCAGCCCACCAGGTGTCTTGAAAGCCTACTACACTCAATTCCAGACAGATTTCTCCTTCTTTCTGAGCTGCAGGGCGCAAGAACTGGTGCGAGGAGGGCAAATTATTTTTACATTATTGGGAAGGAAGTCTCAAGGCCCATCCACCACGCCAAGCATTCATCTCCTCGAACTCTTGTTTGTCGTCCTCAACCAAATGGCCTCTGAGGTAAGGTGAAACATATGGATGTTGTTCCGCCAATTTCCAAAATAATACCTTTGAGTAAGATAGGAATTAAATGGTTGACAAAAATATGAAAAATTGATGGAGATAAGCAAGTACTAAGGTGTTCTCTTTCCATCATTCTCAGGGATTGATAGATCAAGAAAAACTGGATTCCTTCGATCTCCCATTTTACATGCCATCCCCGATGGAAGTAGAAACTGAAATCCAAAAACAAGGCTCTTTCACCATTAAGCGTCTCGAGGTTTGGGAATCTAATTGGAATCCCCATGATATGGAAGTAAACTTGCCTGAAACTCTACAAGATGGTGGGCACAATGTGGCAAGGTGCATTAGGGCGGTGATGGAGCCACAATTAGTCAGTCAATTTGCTTTGCAGCGGAAAATCGTGGACGAGGTATTCATGAGATACAGAGTGATACTTTCGAATTGGATGTGCGAAAAGGAAGCTCTTTATGTGAACATCACTGTCTCACTTACTAAACACTAGTGATGCATGAGGCAATTTATGTCATAGCATAATGTTTTTGTTAGAATATGACTTGAATTTGATTTGAATTTGTTTTGTGTTTTAAGCCTGTTCTGTTTGGGTTTGGGATTGGACTTTGTTTTGGCCTTTTTCCTTGTAGGTTTGGAAAATGTGTTTGGTTTTCTGTTTGGGATTAGGAGAAGAGTTCTATAAATACTCTTCATCACCCTAATCTGTAATAAGGTCAGTCAGGTTAGTTTGTTTGGTTTGTCCGTTTGGAATTTGGTTTGTAACCTATACTCTCCTCAAATTAGTGAAATTTGTCTCCTCTGCCCGTGGATTAGCTAGCACACATTGTGTTAGTGAACCACGTTAAATTTGTGTTCGTTCGTGTTGGTTTGGATTATCGATTGCACGCTTCTGTTCTGACAGTTTTAGGTATCAAAGATGGAAATCCTAATCCGTCAATTCTCATATCTATCCAATACACCCAACTACCTATAATAATCAAACAATAAAATATGTCAATTATCAATACAATTATAGAATCACCAGCTAGCTTGGATAAAATCTAGTCATACGCCAAACCTACCCCTATAATTGAATAAAGCATAAAATGCTAGAAACCACAAGTGTAATGTTGGGTAACCAACACAATAGTTGGCCTTATTAATTGTTCTGTCTAGGCCTTTCTAATGATGGAAACAAGCCTAGGAATTGTGTATAAATATGTAGCCTCATTTGAGGCATGGAGAGGGGCAGAGAGCTAGCTTTAGAGAGTGAGCATATTATCAGATAGCTCTTTGTAAAGGCAATAATTGCCTAGTTGTGTGAGATATAAATAAATATTAGAGTGAAACAATTTTTTTTTAAATTCACTATATTTCCGTTGTGCCCCAACAATATTGTCCCACTATAAGAACATCACCTGTTATTTGCCTCTCGGAAATTACTATTTATCGCATAACATTTGTTCACCACTCTTTGTAATTGAGGCTTTTCGAAAATTGGAAGGCTCACCGGCAGGGGCGGAGCTATGTGGGCCCCCCCGAGAATTTTGAAACTTACCTATAAAGTCCTAGGAAATTCCGAGAATTACATATAAACTCAATCTAACGAGTATATAGAATCTGAATGAAATATTCTTAACAACACAGATTTCCATTCTAGCGGAGAAGCTACCTAGTTGTAGCTACAAGGTTCAGGGTTCGACCTTGATACACAGCATTGCTATTTTAATTTTAACAATTTTTTCAGTTTAATCCTCTAATTTTTCTATTTTGTCTTATAAATCCTATAATTACAAATAAATTCATTCAAGTTCTTAAACTTTTACACTCATATTTTCAAAGATTGTTTTTGGATATGTAATTAATTAATTTTTAAAAATAATAATATAATCATAAATTCATATTCAAGGTATAAAACAATTAAAAAATAATATAATCATAAATTCATATTCAAGGTATAAAACAATTACATGTTAAAATGCATGATAATTTTTGCTCACAGTATAAACATTTATTTTGAGTATAACATACTAGCAAACTTTAAATTATTTATATTTTGAGTTTTATTTTATTTTAATTAATATGTGTCGTTATTATTTATTTTTATCTTTGGATTTTCACGATAATTTACTAAATAAATCCCCCCCCCCCTCCCGCGAACTTTCAATCCTGGCTCCGCCCCTGCTCACCAGAAACTTGATGGGAGGGTTACCAACGACTGTAGTGATGATTCATCATGACGTCGGATTTGGTGAATGTGGCAGATGGTTGTCATCTCACCCAGAACCTTGTGGGAGAAGAATTATATCCACCACTTAGAGAGAAGATGAAACAACCTGATCCTTTTCAAACCAAATCAAAACTCAAACCAAAAATCGACCACTCCAGAGCAACCCAAACCACATTATGATAATCAAACTGAAAATAACTAAGAATTTCAAATGAAGGGCCCTAAACACTTGGGCAATTACAATCCAAACTACTTAAAACATATTCCTTGATTTTACCAGTATACTCATAAAGACAATTAAGATGGATAGTCCCATCGCTTTACCTTGATCCTTCTGACATATTCAAGTTTGACGCTGCAGATCTCCTCGATTAACCTCCTCGTGCTGGTAACGTCATCTTCCCCTTTCCACACCTGGTGAGTGAGAAGGAGTTAGTCCACTACAGGAAAAATACACTTTTACCTAGGGTAAAACGGTAGTTAATAGTCACTAAACGGTCAACTTCTGTGTTACGTCTCGCCATCCAGTAGGGACCCCAACATACTCAATCAACTGCTGCGTTACGTCTCGTCGTCTAGCAGTAATCCGACCATCTACCGCATCCATAAGTGGCCCAACCGCTTGGGGTTGCAATTATCAACAACCATGCATTCATACATACAAAAACACAACGCGTGCCTCCGCCTTCAGAACGCGGCGGGATACCTCAAACACATAATCGTGCAAAACTCATCTTCAAATATCCTCAAATTAAATCACTTACACCTCCTAGACCTTCGTCAATTTATAAAATTGGTAAATCTAGAAACAATCATATGAAGTGGCTCGAAAAAATTTAAACATCTTAAATTGCATTTCTTGAAATTTCCTCAAGCTTTAGTGACTACCCAAAATCTATCACTAAAAGCCTACAAGTTTGTCGCTAAAAACCCAGAATTGCACCCATGAAAAATCACCAAAACAACCGAACTAACTCGAAGGGGTTCCGGACGTTGATCTCCTTGTCGATCGATGATCGATCTCTCAAACGTTACCGCAAACGGTATGTACAAAAATACGAGTTTCGAATTAGATAATCGAATTTAGAATCGAGTTTAGAATCGTGAAAGGATTCGTAACGGGGTCGGGTCTTCTTCTCCTTTTCCTTTTCTTTTTCCCTTTACGCTCTGCCACGCTACTTCTCAATCGACACTGGGGAAGACAAGGAGGGTGGGGCGCTGCTGGGAAATAATTGGGGAAAGGATTTTGGGGGACTCGTGGGTGCTCGGGAATTAACACAGGGGATGCTCGGCTCTTTCTTAGTAAATAAATATAGCAAAGGCTAGCGGTGTATGGTGTACGCTTGTGTTCACACCTATTAATTAATTATGAATTCTTTTTAATTTAATTAATTATTATTACTAAATATAATTACAATTATATAATTCGTCAATTGTTGTTTACGATTTGGTCGGGCTCCGCTCTTCCCTCTTCCACTCGTTCTCTTTCCTGGTGCGATCCTTCTTAGCGTTTCCTTCCCTTGCTGAGCATCCTTGTCGCCACAGATGGAGCTGAGAAACTCTAGGTTTAAGATAGATTTGGCTAGTTTCTGATGGGGGCGCCGGTGCTGCTGGTTGAGGTGAGATAGCATGCATTCTTCAAGACTGAAAGCAACATCTAATTGGGTTGTCACTCCCCGCCTTCAGCCATGATAAAAGAAACAAAATCAAAGGTTAAAATGGAAGACGGTGGAAGACAAACACTAACCATGCGATGAAACTTCTTATTCCACTCACCTATCACCCTAGCATGACCCACAACTCCAGTCATCCACTGCATCTCCTCCCATATATCGATTCCTTCCTGTGATAAATCAAGCTCACAAAACCTAGGATGCAGAGAGATAAGTCTCCCTAATTTGGATTAGGAAGTAGGCCTCCACTTTAGAAGGCGGTGGGATACCTACAACACATAATCGCGCAAAATTCATCAATTAACTAACATTACTGAAAATAAAAGTATTAACTAAAACACATACGACTGAGATATTACCCCCTTTACACTCTCCTCCAAAAGATGTCTCCTCAATTCTTTACTCGTAGAAATCCCTCCTTGGACGAATTATCTCGGGAAACCTATGAATAAGAAATTCATTTTTTTAGAACACCTTTCTCGATTTAAACCCCTTTTGATATAATAGAACACCCTCTTCTCAAAATCCCATCCTTGAAGCTCTTTCCAAAGATCCCTTAACTTCCTTTAAAAATTTTCCAGAAATAATCGCTTCAAAAACCAACCTTTTTCTAATTAATTTCGTCTTGGACGAATTGTTCACCCAACTTAAACCTTCTTAAAATTGCATATGATAATTTTCCAGCGTTGATCATGAGGACTCATTGATATGATCCCAATTGGATCAATTCACGATTCATATCTACTTGCCAAAGAAGTCATCTCAACTAACTTGAATAATTCTGATTTCTAGCCAAGTGTTGAAACAGTTTCAGGTAGCCTACTTTGGAAGCTTGTATCTTCCAAATGGTTTAATGGAAATTGGATTTCAAGGGCTTGTTTTGCAGATTACGTTGCCATATTTCCAATGGTATGCTTTTTGGGGCTAGATGATATCATTAAGGTTTTTTTCCCAAGGCCTCAAAGTTGCAACCTCAAAACTGGAAAACTGTCAGAAAATGGTTTGTGAAGCCTACTTTGGAGCTCAATTCAAGAAGCATTGATGGGATTCAAGTCAAAAGGATTCCACAACATGAAACTAGGTATGTTTGTGAACAAAGGGAAGGAATTTGATGAAGAATTGGAGTTTTGGAAGGCCTCGAATGAATGGCACGAAGTTAGTACGAAAGCTGTTTTTGGACTGTTTGCTGGCAGCTTACTTGTGCGTCAAGAAAGGGAGTTTGTAGCCGAGTTTTGTACTGTTTTTAGAGTTTTTTTTACCTTAATTGTTTCCTAGTTACATTAGGTTTGTATTAGGTTTTTTTCGCCTTTAAATAGCTTTCAAATTCACGTTGTAAGATAGACTTTGATTAATAAAAAAACAAACCCTTTGGTTTTGTGCAAGTTGCGACTTGTTTGAGTATGGTGGATTTCAAACTTGTGAGCTTTGTATAGATTGAATATCCTCTTCAATCATGGTCGAGCAGCTACCCTTTTATACAATACGAGCTTTCCACAAGTGTGGAATTGTCCGTTGGTTCCGTTTTATCCTAATTTCGTATTAAGAATGCGTTGTTCTTGATTCAAGTTCAATCAATCTTCAGATTGATTGTTTGCTACGTTACTTTGATAAAAATACACCTCCAGGGTCGTGTTTAATGGTATCAGAGCCCGGTTCTACACAAGGGCGAAGGAGAAGAAGCAATTGACTATATCACAAGCATAATTCGTGTTCCAAAACAAGGCAACCCCTGTTTATGCTTTGCAGCTGCTGTCCGTAGCTAGATTGCGATGGAAACGTGTTTGGATCTAAGCAATTGATAGAGGGCAGTACCGAGGCCAAGCACCCACGATTTTGTGGCAAAGAGAAGTCCCCTGCAGTCGTCCTCAAGCATAGAGAGTCCGACGAACAACGGGACAACCTATTTCACAGCCGTTGTTTCGTGGAAGAATAATTGGTGTCTCTAGTAAACGATGGAGGCAGCTATGCAAACCACTTCAGTTTAGACGCCGTCAAGAAGCTTGGATTGACGACACAGAAGCATCCTCAACCATATAGCCTCAGCTGGATCAACGAACACGGGACGCTCAATGTGACGAAACGAGCTTTGGTTCGTTTTAAACTCGGCAGCTATGAAGATGAAGTGATTTGTGACGTTGTACCAATGCATACAACTCATGTATTGCTTGGACGTCCCTGGAAAATCGACAGAAGGGTCATCCATGATGGTTGGGAGAATTCGTATATGTTTAAACATGAGGGCAAGAAGATCAAATTGAAAACTATGTTCCCCGATGCAGTTTTTTTCGATTTAAAACATATGGAGGAGAATAGGAACGAAGGAAGCAATATCAAAGCTCAGTTATGGCCTATGGGTTCAACGCAACATTGGATTCAATTTTATGAGCTTTCGCAAAGTGAAGAAGTCCCTTCCGGAGCTCGAATCTGCAGCCTGCAACAAATTCTGCATTTTCCCTGTAAAACAGAGTGGCGAAACCAGCAGCCTTGTCGATGACGAAACGGGAGAATTGGGGCACGGAGAGTCTTCAAAAATCTTTCTTGAGGTTAAAGGAACAACTACGAGTCAAATAGAAGCGCCAGATCGAGCTGATGGCGATCAAATTTCCCCTTCGACCAGCTGCCCAGAACTATGTTCGGCGGTGACGATGAAACAGGGCAGGAGAGATGGCCACTTGGTCGGAGCAGCTGGGACGACGTCGATCTCAACCATCGGTGCCGACATGTTACCTATGAGCCTAGGAACGTCGCCGTAGCTTCAACAAGAGTGGGTATTCCTGGAATTTTAGAATCAATTCTAGAAAACTTTCCTCTGTTGAAGACGACGAACAGGGACGACGACCCCCTCTGTGGATAGAACCACCCAGCGTACTTCGAGCCTTGTCGCCGCCATGATCACATTATAGGAGGCTCTTACGATTCTTGCGCTGGGAGAGATCGATCCAAAATTAGCCAAATTGACGAATCATGATTTGCATATTGCTCCCCTGAAACTAGTGCACAGTAACGCGAAATTTCGCGAATTGGTTGGGGCAATGGAGAAGTATTGGAGACAAATTAGAACCATGGGCGAGTTTCTAGACTCCCAAGGAAGGTGTAGAAGCAAAGCAATCGTCTCGAGAACGTCTGAATTAATTTTTTCCCAATTTTGATTTGGATTCGCCGGTTTATGGGTTCTTTTCGTCGGAAAATGTACTTTTTGAATTTACCGGTGGAGGGACATTCGTGGATGATAATTAGTGACGACTCGAGCAAATTCAAGGCACGAGAATGGCTCGAATCAATTTATGGGAGCAAGAAGAGCCTTTTGGTAGCAATGAATTTGATCGCAAAGGCGTTGAGAAAAAACGCCCAATTTTGGAGCCCTCGCCGGCGTTTGCGGGTTCAACGGAATCTGTAAAATTTTTGCCAGAAACTGGAAAATTGGCGAAAGCGATCTGGGTTCGATTGAGCAAAAATTTCGCGTGTGAAAGGTCCATTGGAATCCCACGAACATCTTGGCATTTGAATCTTGGCATTTGAGTTTGGTGGATTCCAAGCTTGTGAGCTTTGTACCGATTGAATATCCTGTTCAATCGTGGTCGAGCAGTTACCCTTTTATACCATACGAGCTTTCCCCAGGTATGGAATTGTTCGTTGGTTCCGTTTTATCCCAATTTCGTATTAAGAACGCGTTGTTCTTGATTTAAGTTCAATCAATCTTCGGATTGATTGTTTGCCGCGTTACTTTGATAAATACACCCCCAGGGTCGTATTACTTATATAATGTAAAATTATCAAATCCTTAAAAACATTCGACCAATTTCTAAAGATAGTAAATCATTTTCAAACATCCTCAAATTAAATCACAAACACCTCCTGGACCTTCAATTTATAAAATTGGTAAATCTAGAAGCAATCACCTGAGCAGGCTCGAAACAATTTAAACATCTTAAATCACATTTCTATCACTAAAATCCAGCAAAGTCTGTCGAAAAACACAGAATTTCACCCCCACTAAAAATCACCAAAACTACCGACCTAATTCGAAGCAGGAGAGTTCCCTTACCTCTACCTATGGGACTAGATCGAATGGCTGACTCGCTAAAACACAACACCTAACAATGGCCAAGTGTAACCAATGAAAGGGACTGCAGTATAGTGGCACAAGTAATAAATATCGAATCCACGGGTCTCTAGAGTTACTATTACTCAGCTTCAGTTCATTATCTAGCAAACTAGATTAAGAATTGATTGATAAACTACTCTACTGACTACTCTACTAATTACAAGTTGGGAACTCACTTAGGTATGATTCCCCCTAGCTCCTCAATTAGGTCCAAGTTGCAATTACCTTTGGTTGATCTACTGTTGATTAAACTGCGGAAGATCTTAAATTAGCTTGGAATCTCTTAAGCTGACCAAGCCCTCTCAGACAGAATACCCGGCAGGCGACTAGCCTTCACCGGGAATGGATAGACTGCTAAGGCGATTCACACAGATCTCCACTACTGGAATGAATTCCAGTACAAAGCAGTGAATTGATTGACTCTCGCACAACCAATTCACTACTGTCAATCAAGGAAGCTCTCTTAACCTAATCAGATTCTATCTATCATAGGTTAAAGCAGAAATCAAGAGAATTTGATCAAGATCCAATTGACTCAATAAATCATGCCTCAATCGATTATAATCAAACAATATAGAATCCAAAACTTCATACAAGAAAGATCCTAACTCATGGAACTAGGGTTCCTCAAAACCTAAGTGAAGGGAAGTTACTCCATAGAGAAGAGAGAGACTGCAGAAATCTGATCTAGATCTTCAATCTCCATCTCCAAGCTTGATTCCTGAGCTCCAATGGCGAAGAAATCCTCCAAAATAGCTCCAAGAATGTTCCCAAGTCGCTCTCTCTCTCTAAGGTTCGTCCCTTGGGTGTTTGGGATCCAAAACCCAGCTCTCTCCTTTCCTTTGGCTGAAAATCGGGTTTTAAACAGCAATTCCCGACTCACACGGGCAGGCCGCACGGCCGTGCAGCTCACCCAGTTGCCCGTGCGAAGGCTCGGTGATTTCCGCACGGCCACGACTCACACGGCCGTGCAGCTCACCTTGCACGGCCGTGCAGCTCACCTTGCACGGCCGTGCAGCTCACCTTGCACGGCCGTGCGGATTTTCTGCTCTGCCCGTGTGGCTTGCTCAGCCTCTGTTTAATGCTTCGTTTCTCCCTCGTCCGGACTCCGAATCAGTCGCCGTTTGATCCCAGACGCTCGTAGTCTCGTCCTCTTTTGTTTCATAACAAGCTTGCATGATTCTTTGTCCATAAAGTGAGGTAAAAATCCATTCTTCTTCAGGTCATGCCCGAGTTTCTTCTCTAGAATCGTCAATTGATCTCTGATTGACTTGAAACTTGCGCCTATGCTTCACTTCATGTGCTAGGACCTGAAATGGGACAAAGGAATACAACCTAGCATAAAATAGGCCAAAGACGCAATAATTCAAGCTCAAACAATCAAGAAACAAAGGGGAAAACATGTGCAAATACCGAGTCATCAAATCCCCCCACACTTAACTGTTTGCTTGTCCCCAAGCAAACCTAACTCAAACCAATGCAACTCTCCAGACCTCTATAGCAACAAACACCCCAGATCGTAGGTAGAGGACTTCCTAGATCATTTAGAAACTTACGAGGTCAACCGACACACAAGTCATCTCATAGCTTCTTCGGCGAGAGCACTAGTATCGAGTTGGCATCATGGCAAATAGTGAACAGAGGACAAATGAATTGTGGATGAAGAGATTCTCAAAAACAAAAGATCATGGACTCACATTTTTCAAGGTGCTCTATTTTCTTCTTGAAGATGGTTGGAACCCCTTTTCTTTTCTGTTTTGCTTGTTTTCTGTTTTTTTATTTATTTCAAGGGTCCCAACCTGCTCTTACCGGCCATGCCAGGAGCGGATGTCTCGAGCCTCGTGCGGGGGAAAGACATGTAAGGGGGCTGGAGGTAGTAGGTGGAAATTGGGAACGAATTCCCGTCTCCCCTTACACACTTTCGCCCTATTCGCACGGGAGACGTTATTTTGAAGCACATTTTCGAGCACCTGTTAAACTCAAAACATGATACAAGAGTCCATGACAGGTAGAGAATCCACAACACCACACAATTCAAGGGTCCTAAGATCACTAATTCACTCAATCAACCAACACAATATGAAGAAGCAATGAGACTTCTTAAATGCATCAACATCCTCCATAGTGCTACACTACCTCCCTAGGTTGCATATTACTATAAAGACTGTCAATTCAAAGCATACTGAGCAGGCAATTGCAAGGAACACGTACTTGGAGCCCTCAAATTTCAAAATTTGGACAGTGGACTAGGCTCCAAGCACACAAACAGCCAAACATTCACCCGCATAAATAATCGAACACCCCCCACACTTACGCACGACATTGTCCTCAATGGAGGAAAGATAAGGAGGGTGAATGATGATGTACGGGTCAGGCGGTGCATTCCAGGAAGAGAGAGTAATCAGAACACAAACACCACACAAAATCTCACAAAGGTTGAGTTATTGACTCTAAAATCAAATAACAAAACTGACTCAACCGAGGATAAATAGAGAAAGAAATGCAAACCGACTGGTTGGGTTGCCTCCCAACAAGCGCTTCTTTCACGTCGTGAGCCGGACGAGGGCTCCTAAGTTTCGGTCCATGCTAGAACCTCCTTGAAGTTGAGGTTCTCATCTATGAGGTGGAGTCTCAAGTCACAAGCAGGTGGTGTGGCAGGTGATGAAGGCTCGTGCACTTGATGAAGATGAAGTCTCCACCCTCGAGACCTCTTCTTCTCTTCTCTCGTCTCATTGCCCCAAACCAGATAACACAGCATCGATTGGCCACCATCGCGTCCACCAAGAGGGACCGATGTCGATGTGGCCTTGGTCTGGCAAAGAGACACTGCAAATGGGTCCTTGCCAAGCAGCTCCTCGAAGTTTGGTGGAGATATCACATGTAACTCATGGCCGGTGCAGGCCTCTTCCACCTTAACTCCGTCCTCAGCCTGGACGCCAATTGCCTCCACAACCCCCCTTCCTTCTTCAAAATGTGGTCTCTCCCCTTGGAAAAGATCAAGAACTACCTCTTCTTTACTTTCTTCTTCATCCTCCACAACTTCCTTCCTCATCCTTGCTCGCTCTTCTTCTAGAACAGATTGGAGAGCAAGTCGCCAGGCAATTTCTTCAATGGGACCAGCTTGCATCTCCTTGCACAGGCCCAGCATGTTAGAGCATAAATGAGGAACAGTGTGATCTGCAACCAGAGGACTTTCCTGATCATGATTATCATGGAAGTTCTCCGTGATAACTTCTGTATGCTCCTCAACGCCCCCGTTGCCCTTGTCATTCTCCACCTCTTCTAGCGTAGTAGCAGAAAGGTGATCTCGAGCAGGATGTGAGCAAACTTGCTTCACCCACTCTGTTTGCTTCGCTGAGCACTGAACAGTCTGCTCCATGTCATGGAGAAATGAGGGATCGGACGAGGCAAGGGCTTGGATTTGAAGATTTATCTTGGAGCATGCTCTCTCAGTGTCTCGAGCAAACTGCTCCACGAGAAGCCTCAATTCATAGTTTGGATCTGGCTGTGGAGTGTAGCACGGCTCTGCAGATTGGCCCGTGAAGGCCGCCATGGGTAACTCCAGCGCCGATGGCCCTTCTGGTTGTGGGAGAAATTCTTCTTGGTAATGAGGTTGTTCTTGATATGCCCAGGGGTCTGGTTGTTCTCCGTAGAAAGGGGGTTGGTACTGGAACCCGAATCCATAGTCTTCTCCTCCTTGATTGCTACAGGGAGTCTCGGGGTAATACCACTCGGATGGTGGTGGATACCCCCAATGATTGGAGAAGCCATGAGGATCCATGATTCAGATCTGCACCAACAAAAACAAAAACACCCAAGTGAAAAGCAAGGGTGGAAAACAAAAGAAAAACGCTAAAGTAACAAACTTCTGCCTTTCCTAATAATCTAGAAAGTCCCCGACAACGGCGCCAAAAACTTGACTCACTAAAACACAACACCTAACAATGGCCAAGTGTAACCAATGAAAGGGACTGCAGTATAGTGGCACAAGTAATAAATATCGAATCCACGGGTCTCTAGAGTTACTATTACTCAGCTTCAGTTCATTATCTAGCAAACTAGATTAAGAATTGATTGATAAACTACTCTACTGACTACTCTACTAATTACAAGTTGGGAACTCACTTAGGTATGATTCCCCCTAGCTCCTCAATTAGGTCCAAGTTGCAATTACCTTTGGTTGATCTACTGTTGATTAAACTGCGGAAGATCCTAAATTAGCTTGGAATCTCTTAAGCTGACCAAGCCCTCTCAGACAGAATACCCGGCAGGCGACTAGCCTTCACCGGGAATGGATAGACTGCTAAGGCGATTCACACAGATCTCCACTACTGGAATGAATTCCTGTACAAAGCAGTGAATTGATTGACTCTCGCACAACCAATTCACTACTATCAATCAAGGAAGCTCTCTTAACCTAATCAGATTCTATCTATCATAGGTTAAAGCAGAAATCAAGAGAATTTGATCAAGATCCAATTGACTCAATAAATCATGCCTCAATCGATTATAATCAAACAATATAGAATCCAAAACTTCATACAAGAAAGATCCTAACTCATGGAACTAGGGTTCCTCAAAACCTAAGTGAAGGGAAGTTACTCCATAGAGAAGAGAGAGACTGCAGAAATCTGATCTAGATCTTCAATCTCCATCTCCAAGCTTGATTCCTGAGCTCCAATGGCGAAGAAATCCTCCAAAATAGCTCCAAGAATGTTCCCAAGTCGCTCTCTCTCTCTAGGGTTCGTCCCTTGGGTGTTTGGGATCCAAAACCCAGCTCTCTCCTTTCCTTTGGCTGAAAATCGGGTTTTAAACAGCAATTCCCGACTCACACGGGCAGGCCGCACGGCCGTGCAGCTCACCCAGTTGCCCGTGCGAAGGCTGGGTGATTTCCGCACGGCCACGACTTGCACGGCCGTGCAGCTCACCTTGCACGGCCGTGCAGCTCACCTTGCACGGTCGTGCGGATTTTCTGCTCTGCCCGTGTGGCTTGCTCAGCCTCTGTTTAATGCTTCGTTTCTCCCTCGTCCGGACTCCGAATCAGTCGCCGTTTGATCCCAGACGCTCGTAGTCTCGTCCTCTTTCGTTTCATAACAAGCTTGCATGATTCTTTGTCCATAAAGTGAGGTAAAAATCCATTCTTCTTCAGTTCATGCCCGAGTTTCTTCTCTCGAATCGTCAATTGATCTCTGAATGACTTGAAACTTGCGCCTATGCTTCACTTTATGTGCTAGGACCTGAAATGGGACAAAGGAACACAACCTAGCATAAAATAGGCCAAAGACGCAATAATTCAAGCTCAAACAATCAAGAAACAAAGGGGAAAACATGTGCAAATATCGAGTCATCAATGGCGCGGACGTTGATCTCATCTTCGATCGATGTTCGAACCCTCAAACGTTACCGCAAACGCTATATTACAAAAATATGAGTTTCGGATTACACTATCGATGAATCGAATTTAGAATCGTGAAAGGATTCATGATCCTTATCTAGGGGCACGAGAAGGATGGGTCGGGGGCTCGGGGACGGGGTCAAGTCTTCCTCTCCTTTTCTTTTTCATTTCCCCTTTTCGCTCAGCCACGCTGCTTCTCTTTCGGTGCTGGGGAAGACAAGGACAGTGGGCGCGCTGCTGGGGAAAGAATTTGGGAACGTGCTTTGGGGGACTCGTGGGTGCTTGGGAATTAGCACTAGGGCTGTTTGGTCCTTTCTTAGTATATATATATGGTTCAGCCAATGAAATATATTGAAGTGCAAAATTTAAGTGTGAACAAAGGCATACAGTATACCCTACCCTTTGCCATATATAGGTTAAGTAGTGTTACTGTTCCCTTACTTCTTATAGAGTTTTGTTTTGCACTACGGGAAAAATAATCTCTTGCAACCCTTAAAATGTGTTGCGTAAAGTATTAAAAGAGTTGCAACACTTTTACTAGGTTTGCTTATAGTAGAAGTTGCAAAAACAATAGACAATTGGTTTTTCATTTTCTGAAACCAAAATAAAATGGGTTTTGTATCCTTACCCCTCTTGCAACACCACTTTTGACAACAAATTTAAAAATTTTGCAACTCATTTTAGGAAAATGAGCAATAGTTTTTACAAGTCTTCGCAA